GGAGCATCAATTAGCATTCCAACAATTCCTGGAGGCTTGTTTCTCATCAATGTCTTCAGTGCATCTTAAATTTTTTCTTTCGTCCAAGTAGTTCTTGGCATATGCTATCTCCTGAAATGGTTGAGCATTGATTAATTTTTTTTGGTAAAGTAACTGCTTTTTCTTTGTATCTTCTTTTAATGCTTCCTGTGACATTCATTTTTTGTTTCCCCATAATGTCCTTCAGTAATGCAACTCAAGGCTTGACTTTCCTCTGGGTACTTCTAGATTGAGAAATGCCAATTTAGTTCTCTTAGTTTTCTGTATTCAGGTATTTGTACATTTGATCATAATATCTTACTTTGTCTTCTTAAGCTACTATTTACAATCTTCTGCTCAGTTGTTTTATTTCCTCATTTCTTCCACTTGCATTAGCTACTCTGTGCTTGAGAACATGTTTCAGGGTCTCTTTTGGTTCTCATTATGGTTTTTTTCTTCTTTCTTGCATTTTTAATGACCTTTCATTTTCTTCATGTATGATGCCATTGATGTCATACCACAAGTCTTCTGCTCTTTGGTAGATAATGTCTGGTAGCATAGTGCCTAAGGCACTTGACTGCTAACCAGAAGGCTGGTAGGTCAAACCCATCAGCCACTCCTTGGAAGGCAGATGGGGCAATCTACTTGCATAGTGATACTGCCTTGGAAACTCAAGAAGGGGTCACTATGAGTCAGTTCTGACTCGATGGCACATAACAACAACAACACGTAAAATCTATTCTTGTGATAGTCTCTACATTCATGCTGGATGTATTCAAAGTTGTACTTTGACTCTCATGGAATTGCTTCAGTTTTCTTCAGCTTCTATTTGTATTTACATATGAGCAATTCATGGCCTATTCCACAGGCAGATACTGGCTGTATATTGACTGATAATACTGAGCTTCTCCATCTTCTCTTTCCACAGATGTAGTCAATTTGTTTCCAGTGTAATTTATCTTGTAATGTCCATGTGTGTGATTGTCAATTGTATTGCTGAGTAAGTCTTTGTGCTGATGTATCATCTGCATATCACAGGTGTTTACGTGCGTTCCTCCAATTCTCATGCAAAATTCTGTCTTGTAAAATCCTATTGTGTGGTTTCTGGTATTTCTTATATCAAGGTCATATCTGGCAACTATTAATCCTAATTCTGTTGCCAGCTTTTTCATTCCAATGACCAGGAATTATGAATAGATTTTGATCACATGTGCCATCAACTTCAGACTGTAGCATATCATAAAAATATTCAATTTCTTCATCTTTGATATTCATAGTCAGTGTGTAAATTTGAATAATAGTCACACTAACAACAAGTATTCCTTGTAGACTTACAACTAATAACCTATCACTGAAAGTAGTCTACCACTGGACTTTGTCCTTTAAGATAGATCTCCAAAATTCTTTTCAATGATGAGTACAACACTGTTTTTCTTCCATTTATCATTCCTTGTATAGCAAAACCAAATCAAACTCACTGCCATCGAGTGGATTCCTGCTCATAGAAGCCCTGTTTGGGTTTCCAAGGTGATGAATCTTTATGGAAATGGATTGCCCAGTCTTCCTTCTGCATTGTGGCTGATGGATTTGAACTGCTAACCTTCTGTTTTGGAGACAAGTACCATAGACACTACATCACCAGAGATCCTTATTTCTGGAATGCAGACCATATAATTTTCAGATTCTAAATGACAAATAGCAATATATTTCAGTTTACTAATTCCTAAAAAATTCAATCTTCAAGCCTTCCATTGCATTTTTATTGACTTCCACTTTTCTTTGATCCATACTTTATACATTCTACATTCTGATTACTAATGCATGTTTGCAACTGTTACTTCTCATTTGGAGTCAAAGCATATCAAAAAAGAAGAAGAAGAAGAAGGGGAAGAGGAAGAGGAAGAGGAAGAAGAAGAAGAAGAAGAAGAAGAAGAAGAAGAAGAAGAAGAAGAAGAAGAAGAAGAAAGAAAGAAAGAAAGAAAGAAAGAAAGAAAGAAAGAAAGAAAGAAAAGAAAATCCTTAAATTGTTATTTCATTTACATCACTGAAGCCAAATCTCCATTGAGGAGACAGCTCTTCCCCAGACATATTCTGAGTGCTTTCCAATCAGAGGAACTCAAGGAACGTTGGGCAATCCTACTTCCGTAGTGATACTGCCTTGGAAACCCAAGGAGGGGTCACTATGAGTCGGGGCCAACTCGACGGCAAATAACGACAACAACACACTGAACGATAGTATGTTGTTATCCATCAGGTTTCCCTTTGGCTAACATTTGGAAGCAGATCACTAGGCCTTTCTTACTAGTCTGTGTTAGTTTTGAAACTCTGCTGAAACCTCTCTGCCATGGGTGACTCTGTGTACGTGAAACACTGATGACATGACTTCCAGCTTCACTAGCCACCACAATATGACAAACTGACAGAAGGGTTTTGGGTTGATCCTTCTGTATCAATTACAACTGAATGTGAAGAAAATGAAGATCTTCAAACCGGGACTCATCATGATAAACAAAGAAGCAACTGAAATTGCCAATGACTTATTTCGTTTTGAAGCAACACTTCACATCTATAGATACAGCAATCCATAAATCAAACAATGTATTTCATTGGGTAAATCTGTAGCTAAAAACCTCTTTTAAAAAGATGTCACTCTGATGACTATGGTGTACCTGACCTTAAGCCACAGGCTTTTCCCTTATCTCATATGCATGTGAACAACAACAACAACAAAAAAAAACCCTCACTGCTCTCAAGTTGAACCCGACTCATAGTGACCCCTCCTTAGGTTTCCAAAAAGGACATTGAAAAAGGAAGATAGAAGAATAGATGCATTCAAATTGTGGTATTGGTGAAGAATATTGAATGTACTGTGGATAGCCAATAATTTAAACAAAGCACTCTTAGAAGTAATACAACTATAAAGCTCCTTAGAAGTGAAAATGGTGAGGTTTTACCTGACTTACTTTGGATATCTTGTCAGGAAAGATCAGTTACTAGAAAAGTACATGATATTCAGTAAAACTCGGTGTCAGTAAATACAAGAAAAACCCTCAATTAGATGGATTATCACAACAGCCACATAATGCACTTAAAAATACCAATGAGTATGAAGATAGCACAAGATTAGGCAATGGTTTGTTCACTCATACTTAGCATTGTCATGAGTCAGAGATGACTCCATGGTAACTAACAACAACAGCAAAGATAATTCAATATATTATGAAAACTAAAAATCATGGGCCTTCTCCTAGAATGTAAGCATCAATGTTTTGGAAGAACATAAAAAACTATTGATTTTAGAATCTCAAAATTATACTAAAGTTTGGCATTTAGAAATATACTTAGTCTACCAGTTATTAAGGGAAATTTGTCTCAGTGATGAGATAATATAATTTAATTACCAGGAGTAAAAGGTGGATAATTCCATTTGTTGGCCTCACATCCATCCTTAGAGCCTTGAACAAAGCTGGAAACTTCATTCATATCCTGAATAGATACAAAATGAACAACAGATTGTTTTTTATTTTTTCAAATAATGACTATAAGCCAAAACTCTCCAATTTTTTGAAAATGGCTTACCTAAGCCAATCAGGGTGTTTTGTCAGTCCTAGAGCACAAATATTATCTACTAACCTAAAAAATAAACAAACTTGCTTAGCTACATCCACTATTTGATACTGCCTTCATGTATGGAAAGTCATTACACTGACAAAGGTAATATATATATATATATAATATGTGAAATACCACTATAGAAGCCTTATGTACCATTGCAGGATTGTAAACAACCAAAAATGCATTTCCCTTTACCTAGTTTTAATTAATTATGGTAGCTCTGGTAGCATAGTGCCTAAGGCACTTGACTGCTAACCAGACAGCTGGCAGTTCAAAGCCACCAGCCACTCCTCAGAAGGAAGGTTGGGCAATCTACTTCCATAGTGATCCCACCTTGGAAAGCCAGGGAGGGGTCTCTATGAGTCAGGTCCGACTCGACAACACATAACAACAACAGCACCGTTTTAATTATATACATAAACAATTGCATTTTATGTATCAAGCAACTAAATTTTGTAAATAGCTTTGTCAATCTTCTTATATAAGACTGTCATTGTACACATTCTTAGCACATCCATTCATTCAATATATCTTGTCCATTTGAGCTGGCATTTATCTTGCTTCTACAATATTCTAGGGGTTTCCTGGTTAACACATGACTATTAGCTGAAAGCTGGTGGTCCACACTCATCCGAAGTTGCTTTAGGAAAACAGGTCTGGTCATCTGCTTCCAAGATGTCACAACTTTGAAAACCTATGGGACAGTTCTACTCATCACTCAAGGATTGCCATGACTTGTAATTGAACTGATCAACATGATGTGCTGAGCACATTGCTGCCAGTGTTGAGTACCACTATACTCTTATGAAAAAAATACAAGTGCAAAGTATAGAAATAACATTGTAGTATGGTATTTCAAAAAGTTATGGCCCCATAAACTCCTGAAATAATCTCAGCTGTTCTATCACTTACTAAAAAGAAAGGTTCTAAACAGAATGAGCTTACTCAGGTTCTGTCACTGCAGTTGCTTGAATATAATAGAATGAAATGAATCATTATAGATTGAATTATGTTCCCCAAAGAGATACATTGAAGTTCTAACCACTGTACCTCTGGATGTGACCTTGTTTGGGGAAATAAAATTTTTCTTTGAAGATATCAGTTAGCACAGTCATAAAAGAGTAGGATGGGTCCTAACCCCTTTTGGTTGGTGCCTTATAAAGGGGGAGAACAGATACAGAAACAAAATCACATACAGGGGAAAGGTGCCGTGTAAAACTACACCAGCAACAGCAAGGAAGCACTAAGGATTGTGGAAATCACTAGGAGCTGGGAGGAAGACTGTTAGAACCCTCAAAAGAAATCAGCACAGCCAATACCCTAATTTGTACTTCTAGGTTCAAGAACAGTAAGTTTCTGATTGTTAAATCTACCCACTTTGTAATACTTTATTATTTGAGCTCTGAGAAACAAAGACTATATGTGTCTCAAATTATATTGGTGTAGGCTTATCTTTAAATCGGATTAACTATTTTTAAAGTTCAATTATTAGTTATAAATGTACAATACCATAGTTATAAAATACTATAGACTTTATTTTGTAAAGATTTCTTGTATTACTACAGCAACAATAAAAAATCTCAATTTATATTTTTTAGTTCACACTCTTCTCTAACTCAAGAATATGACAGTTACGATATTTACATGTTCTAAAGAAATATTTTTTGATGTTGAATACATTAGAACAAAAATGTATCTTATTACTTAATGATATTTTATTCCTGGATAATTCTATGATCATTAATTAAAATAACTGGTTTAAAATTGTTACTTACAATCCAAAGTCCGTCATATTTCACTTCTTGATAGAAACGACTGCATTCATCAGCCCACCAATCTATGCATTGTGGACTAGTGAAATCAGGATATACTGTTAGTCCTGGCCATACCTAGGGAAATAGATTATGCACACATATTCATATATGAATGACAAACAAATGAAATGCAGACCTAGTTCAGCTGAACAGTAAAAAGTATTGAAGGTATAATATTGTATTTCTTTAAAAATATGAGATGCATGTACCATTAATATTTACCATAAAATCAGGCTTATATTAAAATGCATTTAAAGTAGAACAGATAAGAAAAAGAAAGAGTAAGATCATGAAAAATTTAGGCAGGGAAAATTATGGGATCAGGCTGCTATTTTCTCTGAAACTAAATTAGGTTAAAGAAATATGTATATGTATATTTATATTCCTTGTATGATATAAATAAATAAATAAATACATTAGTTCCTCTCCAAACATATCTACTACCAAGAAATTTGAGGAGAAAGTCTCTTGGTATATTTTTTTTATTATTTAATAAAAATGAATATAATACTTATTATGTGCTGGGCATGGTTCTAAATATTTTATAATAAATAATTTAATATTCATAATTACTTTAAGTGTTGGGTACTACAGTTATCTCCATTTTACAAGTGAAGTAAGCACTATGCATAGAATAATTTTATAGATGAGGAAAATGAGGAACAAATAAATTGCTCAAAGTCACATCATTAATAAGTGACCATTAAGAATTCAAACTCAGGCAATGTTACAACAAATTCCTTGCTATTGAACACTATAAGTTGCAGCTTTTTTATCATTTATGCATTTGCAAATTTTTACAGTATTTCACTTATTACTTACAGTCACTATATTAAACAAGAATAATTCAATTTCAAATAAATCAGGATAAATGATATTGTTTTTTATGTAAGAATGACACATATTGGCTGTCTAATCTATATCCAACAGAGTAGGTTGTAACAAAATGAATTTTATGAGATATTGATAGGTATTGTAGAGAGGCAGAAGTCCCTGGGTGGTGAAAACAACACTCTTGGTTGCTAACCAAAAGTTAGAGTTTAAGTGCATCTGAAAACACTTTGGAAGAAGGATCCAGCAATCTGATTCTGAGAAAACAGCCATGAAACACAGTCCTACTCTAATACACATGGGGTCTCTGAATCAGAGTTGATGCAATAGCAACTAGTTATAGGGAAGAAAATGTGTTATTTTTCTGATGGAACTCATACATATTTGAAGAAGCATTTCATCAGAAATTTAAAGTTTGATGAATGTGATAAAGGTTATATTTTTATTGTAAATATAACAGATTTTTTTTTTTACAAATTCATATTTTCTCCATGTGTATTATTTACTTTCACTAAGTTGTAGAACTGGAATAGCTAAGTGAGTACTTCTAGAAAACAAAAGAGACCTATATAAATGGAAGAATATACCATGCCCATGGATAGGAAGACTTAAAATTAGGAAAATATAATACCACTCAAAGCAATCTACAGATACAGTGCAATCCCCCTCCAGATTCCATCATCTTTCTATAAAGATATGAGAAAACTAATCACTAACTTTACAAGGGAAAAAAAAAAAAAACTTGATAAGAAAAGCACTACTAAAGAAGAAGAACAAAGTAGGAGGCCTCCCCTTCATCTCAAAACCTACTACATGGCAATGGTATTTAAGACACCCTAGTACTAGTACAACAACAGACACATAAACCGATGGAACAGAATTGAGAACCCAGAAGTAAATCCATTCACCTATGGATGACTGATCTCTGATAAAGGTCTGAAACTCACCAAATGGGGAAAAGTGGTCTTTTTAATAAATGGTGCTGGCAAAATTGGATAGCCATTTGCAGAAAAATGAAAAAGGACACAATCTTTCACCATTTACAAAAATAAATGCAAGTTGGATCAAAGATCTGAAAATAAACATAAAATTATAAAGCCAATCAAATAAAAAATAGAGACATAAATAGTATGCTATTAGGTGCTGTGGAGTTGGCCCTGAATCATAATGATCCTGTGTATAACAGAGGAAAACATTGCCTGCTCCTGGGTCACCCTTATGACCTTAACAATGCTTCAGCCTGTTGTTAGAGCCACTCTGTCAATTCGTCTCATTGAGGAACTTCCCTTTTTCAACAATCTTCTACTTTACCAAGCATGATATCCTTCTTCAAGGACTGGTCCCTTCTAACAGTACCAAAGTAGGTGAGATGAAATCTGTACTATCTCATTTCTAAGGAGCATTCTGGCTGTACTTCTTCCGGGATAGATTTGTTTATTCTTCTGGCAGTCCAGTGTATTTTCAGTATTCTTCTCAAAGACTACAGTTCAAGGGAATAAAGTGTTTTTTAGAGCCTGGTTTGTTCATTGGCCAGCTTTCACAAGCATATGAGATGACTGAAAATACAGTGGTTTGGATCAGGCACAACTTAGTCATCAAAGTGACTTTAAAGTTCCCTAGCACTTTAAAGAGGTCTTTTGCAGCAGATTGCCCAGTGCGATACTATCCTTGATCTCTTGACAACTGCTTCCATGGGTGTTCATTGTGGATCCAAGTATAATGAAATCCCTGACAAACTTAATCATTTTTCCATTTATAATTATTTGCTTATTAGCCCAGCTGTGAGGATTTTCATTTTCTTTATGTTGAGATGTAATCCATTCTGAAGACTGTAGCCTTTGGTCTACTTCAGTAAGTGTTTCAAGTCATCCTTACTTTAAATAAGCGAGATTGTGTCATCTGCATATCACAAGTTGTTAGTAAGTCTTCCTCCAATCATGATGCTGCATTCTTCTGCATATAATCAAGACTCTTGGATTATTTGCTCAACATACAGATTGAATAAACATGGTGAAAGGATACAACCCTAATACATACTTTTTTTTTTAGGATTTGGGTGAAGATTTACAGAGTAAATTCACTTTTCATACAGCAGTTCACATATACTTTGTCTCATGTCATTGACCAAAATTTACA